AAGCATTAAAAACAGGGCATTGATGGCAGCCGTTTTCTTTTTTCCAAATTTGGAAAAGAAAAAAAAAAGAAAGAAAGAAACACATGCACTCTTAGAAAGTGAGAAGAAAGCCTTTCCTTTTTGGTAAATTTAAGAAACAAGCCATGGATGGTGGCCATTTTGTTTTTTGTTTTTCAAGCACATGTAGGTGTTCATAGATTTTTAAGTCAATTCAACCCTCAAAATGTATGGTGATATCTGTCTTGTTGCATCTTTTTCTTTGCTCAAGGACACGGCTTCTTATTGTCTGTATCTATGTCAAAAAGACAAAATCAGGGATTCTGAGCAATGGGAGATGTATTATTTAAGCTCCCGTGGAGAAACCGAAGCAAAGGCTTTTCATGTTTGAACAGCCTGCTATTGTGCAGCCTCATCTCTATGTTTTGTATCCTCATTAATTATATGTGCCAGGCATACTCTTGTTGTGTGTGTGTGTGCCCGCGTGCGCGTGCATGCTTATGTGTTTGAGCGTTGTTCTTCTTCTGACACGAAGAACAAGCCGTTGCCAATTAGGGACTCTGCCTCCCCCAGGGTGACAGTGTGTTCAACCAAGAGAGTGCTGTCACATCAGCTCATGGGTTGTTAATATGGCCTGAGTGTCAGCAGGATGAAAGATGTATATTTAGAAACCAGTGGGGTCACTATACGCTCTTGGCTAAATCAAGCTATAGGTTGAGAGCAGCATTTTGGCTAGTTAGAGGTTTGCACTTCAGGGATCCATATTTCCACCTTGGGTCTCTGACATTTAGTTGCACCGTCAAAATGGTTTGGCTGTTCGGATTTTGATGACCTTTAAATTATTTTCTATAAAAACTGCTTCACACGACAGAATGAAATGTGAGGCGTATTGGTTTAAGGTTGTAGTTTTATGTTGTGGTTATTTATCATGCTGTGTTTTGAAAGTTAATGTTTTAACTTGCTCTGCACCACGAACAACAAAAAAGACAGTTTACACCTGTTTGAATTATTAATTAGTAGAACATTTCCTTTTATTATCAGTAACCATAATAAATTAAACCACTCACACATATACGTGGGCGTGGACAGGTGCGGAGGACACAGTCAATATCAGTGTCAGAATTTTATTGTATTATAAAGGGAAGGGTCAATATTTGCCTCCTTAAATTTTTTACCTTTGTTTTGTACTTTTAAATGTCTACCTACTATACATATTTTTTTAACACACAGTATGCCATCTTGAACTAATTTATAATAAATATAAAGAATAAAATTATGTAAATATAAAGAAATGTATGGTAAAAAAAAAGTTTTGTATGTGTACATAACATGTATACACTTACCTAAAGGATTAGGAACACCATACTAATACTGTTTTTGACCTCCTTTCGCCTTCAGAACTGCCTTAATTCTACGTGGCATTGATTTAACGAGATGCTGAAAGCATTCTTTAGAAATGTTGGCCCATATTGATAGGATAGCATCTTGCAGTTGATGGAGATTTGTGGGATGCACATCCAGGACACGAAGCTCCCGTTCCACCACATCCTAAAGATGCTCTATTGGGTTGAGATCTGGTGACTGTGGTGACCAGTTTAGTACAGTGAACTCATTGTCATGTTCAAGAAACCCATTTGAAATGATTCAAGCTTTGTGACAGTGTATTATCCTACTGGAAGTAGCCATCAGAGGATGGGTCCATGGTGGCCATAAAGGGATGGACATGGTCAGAAACAATGCTCAGGTAGGCTGTGGCATTTAGACAATGCTCAATTGGCACTAAGCGGCCTAAAGTGGTAACGCAGTGGTATCAGGGCATGATGGATCGATGTTCTCATTCTGTTTACGCCAAATTCAGACTCTATCACCTGAATGTCTCAACAGAAATCGAGACTCATCAGACCAGGCAACATTTTTCCAGTCTTCAACTGTTCAATTTTGGTGAGCTCTTGCAAATTGTAGCCTCTTTTTCCTATTTCTAGTGGAGATGAGTGGTACCCGGGGAGTCTTCTGCTGTTGTAGCCCATCCGCCTGAAGGTTGTGCGTGTTGTGGCTTCACAAATGCTTTGCTGCATACCTCGGATGTAACGAGTTGTTATTTCAGTCAAAGTTGCTCTTCTATCAGCTTGAATCAGTCGGCCCATTCTCCTTTGACCTCTAGCATCAACAAGGTATTTTTGCCCACAGGACTTCTGTATACTAGATGTTTTTCTCTTTTCACACCATTCTTTGTAAACCCTAGAAATGGTTGTGTGTGAAAATCCCAGTAACTGAGCAGATTGTGAAATACACAGATCGGCCCCTCTGGCACCAACAACAATGCCACGCTCAAAATTGCTTAAATCACGTTTCTTTCCCATTCTGACTTTTAGTTTAAAGTTCAGGAGATTGTCTTGACCTGGACCACACCCCTAAATGCATTGAAGCAACTGCCATGTGATTGGTTGATTAGATCGTTTCATTAATGAGAAATTAATGAGAAAGTACTCTATCTTATATATTAATATTTTTAAATGGCTATATTGTATTATATATTATATTGTATTAATTATATGATATCCTCACTTTCTTTCTCCTCTTTTTTACCATCGCATTTAAAACATCTTCAGTCACATTTGATAGCATTTTTGCCCTGGTTAATTTCTGACCCTGGCTGATACATTGTGAAAAATAGAAAGATTTAGCTGTAACACAGCCATGTTTTAAATTTGTTGGACGATCAAAGAGTTCCTAAAATGACTTTAGCATTGCTGATTAGTCAGTCCCAGTTGAGCTGAATTACTGTGCCCTCAATATGAAGATCGTCCTGTCTCAAAATGGCTGCCTGCGCTTGTTTCACATGGGTATCGTTCTCAGCTGGATGAGCTAGATATCAATGCATCTCATCTCTCCTAACCTAGACGAGTGTGTGTGTGTGTGTGTGTGTCTAGTCTGTGTTCTCCTGCTAGCCCTGTCCTGTCAGAGCTCTCTAGCCAGCCTCTGCCCGCCTCTGTCTTATTTAACTCTGCCCTCTCTCTCCACCCTGGGAGATGAGAATCAAAGTGACCGGACACACGCAACCATCTGCCCCAGTTCCATGGCAACAAGCTGCCCTCCCAGACAGAGGGAGAGGCTTTTTGTCTTTGCTGCTTGTGAGTTTATCTGAACACTACTTCCTAATAAAGGCATAGCAGCCGTGGACCTTTAGCTGTCTCTCCAGCTGTCTAATCACACGCTGTCACCTTTTCACATATCCTTTGTGCTGCGATGGTCAGAGGCCTAAAAAAAGCACATGTCATGTCTTGTATATTGCCGGAGGCTTAATAGTGCTGCCCCTTAGTGTTTCCTCTCAGTGGTGACTTTTTCTTTTTCTCAGATCTGCAGAGATACCTTTAGGTGGCATTGTTTCGCACTATGAAACTTTACATGCTGCTGCTTTTCTTTCCCTTTGAGCTGGCTGATCTGGATTCATTGTAATTGAGAGCAGGGAGGGATAGAAAATCGATTGGGAGCCTGGCAGTTCTTTAATGGCAACTCTTTTTACCTGTTATCAAGTGAGATGGGCTGCAGGGGCCCCTGACAATGACACGCTGCCCTCTTAGCGGCTGTCTGACTGATGAGGAGAGACAACGACGTGTCAAAGAGAGCCAGAGTGGCTGAAATCACAAAGCCTGCAGGCTCCTCTTCGCACGCTCTGATCATCTAATGGAAGCTCGATTGGAGCCCGGAGGTCCGGGGGCCCCGTCGAACTCGCCGCACGACGCACGTGTTCACGGGATAAAGGGGAGGCTCTACAGCCGAGAAATTGCTTTCTCGAATAGAGTTTACAGTCTGGGGGTTTCTTGGATGTGCTTCCTAAACCGCTCTGGAATTGTAAAGACGTGAGAAGCATATGCAGCCGAACATCACTCGACTGAAATCAAGGAGGGCCGTCGTAAAAACAGTTGAATGGCTCCATCTGGTGGAGGAAGTGGGATAATACATTTGAGTTCACGTCATGTATTGTATGCTAACAAATCGTTTTTTTGTTGTTGTTTTTCGGGGAGACCGAATTGATTACAGGGCTTGCCACAAGACCACAGGACATTCAGTATCTGATCTAAATGTGTGAATGTGATGTGTGACAGAATCATTTCCTCTGCTGTTTATCTATGAACCCTCTTTTCTTTTTCTCTACATGGATATCAGTCACCTCTCTACACCCCCTTTTTTTTAGTTTATCCCGTTTCACAACCCTTTGCTTCCTCTGTCTCTCTATCACTCTCTGTCTTTCTACCTTCTGTTAACCGCTGTGTGGGACATGTTATAGGTAAAGGTCCAGAGACCATATTTGCGGGCCAGAACTTGAATGACAACGAATGGCACACAGTTCGTGTCGTCAGAAGAGGCAAAAGTCTGAAGCTAATGGTGGATGACCTGCAGCCATCTGAAGGTACATCATGTTCTCAAGTATTCTTTGAGTTTGATAGTGAGCATCCTATGTGAGCTTTTGAAGTGGATAGTTTAAAATGTGCAGAGCGTTATTGTCCGACTCTGACCCTATACGAACATATACATCACCAATACTTTTTGGATTTAAACGTTAACGTACATTAACATAAAATTCAAGATTGCTATGGCAAAAAAAAAGAACAAAAAATGTAAATATGAACTCTTTGTGTCTCTGATAAAAAAAATACAAAAATTCCTGCCTTATGTATGTATAAAAAAATACATACATTTCCATTTCAAAAGTTTGAGGTCGATAAGATTTATTTGATGGACTTTTTTTTTTTTTTTTTTACATTTAAAATGTAATTTATTCATGTGACAGCAAAGCTGAATTTTCAGCAGCCATTACTCCAGTCTTCAGTTTTAATGCACAGTCTTTACTGTCAATTTTGATAAATGTAATGCATTCTTTATGAATTTAAAGTATTTATTTTGAACAGTAGTGTAATTTTATAAAAATAAATTATATAAAATATGTAATTCTTTCCTTGTTTATATAGTCCTTAGGTATAGGCCAATTATATGCTTGTAAACATTCGGGATGCGCGCGCAGCTTGGTTGCAGAAGCGAGAGCGCGGGAGAGGTGTTAGCTAGCAAAATAATACATTACGTTATCGTTACGTAGTTAGATATCAACATTACATTTTATATTGATTAGATTGTACATATTTAAAATGTTCTCCGCGTATTACAACAGCTTGTCACCCAGCGATAAGAGCTGTTATTCAACTAAGCTTACCTTAATGAGTGGGATACGTCTTACAGATCCGTTTGCCATAGAGCTTTGTCAATGGTCAAACGACGAAACGAAATGGCCAAGCATTCAGTGGCCAGAAATATATAATTACCTGATCGACACTCCAAGTGTTTATACCCAGGAGAAGTTGAAAGCGTACAAATCTCTTGATGCCTATAATTTTGTTCTGTGTGGTCATGTCCAAGACATACAACTGCAAAAAGTAATGAGTCAGAATGAAGTGTAAATAGAAGCAAATTATTTAATACACACTAGTATTTTACATCGAAGCACAATAAAAAAAAATAAAAAAAAAGTACAGCAATAATTATTATCAATTTAACCAATTATAAATTCATTAATAAAATGTATACAGAAAATCTGATAGCTGTATTTATTGTTTCTTCTATTTTATTTATGTTTTGAGTCTGCCCTTTTTTTTACTTGGCACGGCTGCTATCACTATGTCATAGTTTGGTTTTGTACTGTTTTCTCTGACATTTTCATTAGAACTATGTTAATATGTTTGTTTTATTTTTTTAAATTAATTACATTTTTGTTGTTATTGTTAAAATTAATATATATACAGTATATACACATATTATACACATATATACATATGTATATTATTACTCATAGTCTATTAATGTAATTTACTTAATTGTTCACTGATCCTTCTCTGTTCTGTTGCAGTCACCACCACCTAAAAAAATAATAATTTAAAAAAAAACGTTAACCGCTTCAAGTTATCTTCTTGGGACTATGCATTTACAGAGGTTTGTTAATGCTCCACACACAATCACCATGTCATCTAAGAGGTCAACCTGTGTGAGTGGAATAACAGTTGTCAGAATTTTGAAGTTTTTCCATCTACCAATTACTCTTTCAATGTGTATTCTCACATTAGACAAACGCCTTGATGTGTCCACTTCTTGAGCAGAGAGCTGCTTCTTTCCTTTGGTAAAGTGAGGGATCCTAAGTGTGGCACCGCGTGTAGCAAGCTCATCTCTGATGGTGAAACCACGATCTGCTAGAATCTCATCATTATGCTCTAGAAGGTCATAAAATCCAGACTCTGCTGTAATTTGTTTATCGGAAACACGCCCGCCCCAACCTGCCGACAGAAAAGTAATGGCTCCTGCAGGTGACATGCCAACTAAATATTTTACAGTGTTGTGGCTTTTATAAGTTGAGTACGTCTGGGCTCTGGAGGTTAAATTTGTGGGTCTGTTTATAAAAATTTCTGTGCAGTCAATGATGCACCTGCAACGTTTATATTTAGGTTTAAAACATTTTGGCATATTCTTTAATATTGCTTGCTTGCTTGGCCACTTAATGAGAGGTTTTAAAGTCGCAGACATGACAGGGAGCCAACTTCTCAAAATTTTCGACACGTCACATTCTGTTACATTAAATCTGAAAGCAATATCCTTGTTGCTGAGTCCTAATCTTAGTTTCATTAGTGTAACTAATAGATGGTCCTCTAGGCTCATAGAGCCACGCACAACCTCTACACTGCCTTTAAGTTTCTGAATCAACCACTCAAAAATGACACTGGTCAGACCTGTGAAAAACAGAACATGCACCGCTTTGCTCTTGATAGAGCTAAAGGAAAACTGTGTTTTTCTGAGTGTTTCCTTTAGTTCCTCCTTCTCTGATTTCAGTTTGTTGATCTCTGAACGCAGGTTGACACACTCTGCAGAAAGTTGGCTGTACTTGAGTTTCAGCTCATCATGGAGAACCTTAGTGACTGTGGCTTCTGAAATAGATAGAGTAGATTGTTGTTGACTTCTAAAAGATGCACAGTAACTTGTTTTAGCTTCTATTTTCTCTATTATTTGATGTATGTTTTAAGAGAGCATGTGCTCTCTTAAAAAAAAATTAGAAACAGGGTGACATGATTCATCATAATAGTGACTGCCCTACATTAGTTAAAATTTTAGAAGTTCTTACCTGTGAAAGGACCAGAACCAGGCTCCATTCTGCAGTCATCTGAGGACAGGCAAGCGGCTGAGGATTCTGATGCAACCTCATCTGTAACTTCTGTGGATAGGTGGACGTGATCTGGGGGTCTGTGTGTGGTTTCCTCTCTTGTTCTTTTCCTCTTAAATCTGATACTCAGAGAAGAGAGCAAGCAGTCAGGCCAAAATAGTTTAGTTGCTTGGTAGATCACAGAGGCTATCAGTTCCCCAAATGAAGTCAAGTGTAAATCACATAGCATCCCTCAAAGGACTTAACAGAAACGATCTAGTCCAAGAAATCCTCTTGACAAAAATAATGTGACATAAAATTAATGGCCATAAATTCCATGCTATTCAATGCATGCAGAGAATGGATGGTGAGTAATGATGTGATCCGAGCGAGCAACTAAATGAGGTGAAAGTGACAATATTTACCTCTCAAGTTTTGCGTCGCCTTTGTTTATTTGACACTGGGTTGAGTAGGAAAAAACAGACGGGACAAAGTCAGGACTACTGGAGTCCATGGACACCTCTCCTGTACAAAAAGTTAGGTCTGTTAGTGTTACAGTTAAATTTAGTCTGAGTTCGCTATAACCGCGTTATTAGCCAAATACTAGGTAACGTTACACTTGCTACTAGACTAGCTACCAAGCAAAACAAGGTAACGCAACTGAACAAAGGTCGTTCGTTATTCTATTGTTAGATAAGTGTACTTAATACATCAGAGTTTTTGTTGTAAACTAAATAGAGTGATGTGGGTGATTTAGCGCAACTTCACTTACCTGATATGAAGTGAGAACTGCAGAGTCGGGCATTTTTAATTAGGTTGTCGTTCCAGTCGATTCTTCTGATGGCTTGTAACCAAAGACGTCTGCGGTTGGCGTTAAAAGGAGTGTGAGTTGATGGTATTCGGTAAAACTTCAGATCTTTATTTACAGACTTTCGATTCTGGCAACCCACTGCACAACACGACATTTTTCCGGGCTTGTTTCAGCGGCTAGCTTGAAGCTTCTGCAACCGACATGCGCAGTTGCACCTGCGTGACGTCAGTGTGACGTAGGGTGATAATTCCCCTATATGTAAAATAAAAACAAAACTTCACCTGTGATTTCAAAATATGAAACCACAGGTATTTTATATGCTTATAAATTGATTTATATAAAATAATAAATAATTTCCTTGTTGATGAACTGGGTGTAAGAAAGTCCTATGAAAGAGCCATTCATGAAAGGATTGAGTGGCTCACTTTCCAATAGCCTTCCCTCAATTCCCTCAGTTCCCTTTTGCAATTTGCCCTGTAAATGAACGTCATATGAACAAAGTAGTGCTTTCCCACAGTGCCGTACAATCATCTTTAGTTTCTTGCTGAATTTAATAGTCGACACTTTGAAATAAACTTGGTATTTTCTTTAATGCTGATATGTTCGGAGGCCGAACCACTGAGGGAATACATTATACTCACATAACCTTCCTGATTTTAGAGTCAACGAGTTTTCTCTTGGGAAGCTTTAAAAGAGGTTTTTAAAATATTTAAAGACTTCTTTTTCTCCCACTGGTTTGCTGGAATATGAAGTTCACATTTTTTTCCTTCATATTCCCTAACATACTTCAGACATTTTTACAACTCTTTATGTATTCGTGTTTCCAAGTCTCTGGTGTTTGTTAAAAATTCCAATTTGCTGCAGTAGATTTAAGATGACCCACTTTGACAACACTGCGGCCCTGTCCTGAATTGCACACTTTATATGTACACGTCGTCTTGCTAAGGCTTGTACGTGTCTGTCAAGCCCACAAGACCGTATCACATCTCATTTGTCCACTTCATGACTGTATATACTGTATTCAGTATTACGTCACTCTTTGGGTGGTAGTTGGGACAGGGCCTGTGTTTTGACACACTACCCATTCCTGTATTAAATCTGTTTTCGATTATTCGCCTTGGTAAGGTCAAATCACGGGGGACCACACGCAGCTGGAGTTCCACAATGTGGAGACGGGCATCGTTACAGAGAAGCGATACATGCCCGCCGTGCCCTCCAACTTCATTGGACACCTGCAGGGTCTGTCCTTCAATGGCATGTCCTACATTGACCTGTGCAAGAACGGCGACATTGACTACTGCGAATTGAACGCCATGATCGGCTACAGGAGCATCGTGGCAGATCCGGTTACCTTCAAGTCTCGTTCTAGCTATGTGACCTTGCCCACTCTGCAGGCCTATTACTCCATGCACTTGTTTTTCCAGTTTAAGACCACTTCACCAGATGGGCTTGTCTTGTACAACCGAGGAGATGGCAATGACTTTATAGTTGTAGAGCTGGTGAAAGGGTAAGTGCAATTCATTTTTAATGGGCCACGTTTGATACATTTAGAACATGTGATAAGTCCTTCACTGAATGTGTTCATGACTGTTTGCATGCAGATATCTCCATTATGTGTCAGACCTGGGAAATGGGGCTCATCTCATTAAGGGAAATTCCAACACACCTCTGAATGACAATCACTGGCACAATGTGATGATCTCAAGAGACACAAACAACCTTCACACAGTTAAAATAGACACCAAAATCACCACACAGACTACCATGGGAGCCAAGAACCTGGATCTGAAAGGTACTTTTGATATTCTCTTTGATTTCAACTGATCATTTAAGCTGAACTACAGTAGATAGATATAATAATTATATTATATTATAAGATGTTTTTTTTTCAAGAAGTCTCCTATGCTCACCAAGGCTTCATCAGCCATTAGTCCAAGCTTTAGTGGCATATGTTCTTTCAGAAATCATTCTAATATGCTGATTTTGTTCGAGTTTTTCAGGATTCTTTCATTAATATAAAGTTTGAAAGAAAAGCATTTGAAAAAAAAAGATATAATTTGTAAGATTATAAATATCTTTACTGTTATATTAGGTCAATTTATGAAAGTATATATGGAATAAAAGTGCAATAAACAAAAGGACCAGCAGGGGGAAGTGGTGTACCTTTTCTATGGCTATTTCCAAAACATGTTCCCCTGATAGTTGAAATGAAAAGACATTGTCAGTCAGAGCATAATATTTCCTGTCTCTACAGGTGATTTGTATGTGGGAGGTGTGGCCAAAGAGATGTATAAGGACTTGCCAAAGCTGGTGCATTCGAAAGAGGGCTTCCAGGGCTGCTTGGCATCTGTGGACCTGAACGGCCGTTTGCCAGACCTGCTGTCAGACGCACTGTCCAACGCCGGCCAGGTGGAGAGAGGATGCGAAGGTGAGGAAAACGGTATGAATGGCACAGACACAAAGCCGGCATTAGTGCGGTCCTTCGCTAGATGACTGTAATCTCCAATCCTTGTCTCATCTCATGCACTCCTGTTCATCCTCTCTGCTTCTTGTTCTCTTCAATATCTGTTTTATGTTTTCTTCATGCTGGGCCAGTTTTAACAGGTTTCAGGCTTCTGTGTTCTTTTCCTCTGTTGGAAACAGGTGTAGATTAGTGATGAACGTTATGGACCCATCCATGTCAAGAGACCTTGTGTTTTCCCCAAGCTATAACTGTGATGAAGCTGAATATACAGTATGAGAGTAAAGAGACTGGTTATTGACAGTTTGTTAGTAGCATATTAATTAGGGGTGTCAAAGTTAACAAGAATCTTTTCATCAAAGCTCAGAAAGATATAAAAGTGACATTTTTAACTAATTTCTGGCTCATTTTATAAAATAATCTCGAAAAAAAAAACAGAAACATAATAAGCAACAAACATAGTAAGCAGCACAGCTGTTTTAAACATTGATAATAATAATAAATTATTCTTGAGCACCAAATCAGCATATTAGAATGATTTCAAAAGGATCATGTGACACTGAAGAGTCATGATGCTGAAAATTTGCATCACATAAATAAAATAAAATGTAAAACTTATTCAAAAAGAAAATGGCTCATTTAAATTGTAATATTTAACAATATTTAATTTTTTACTGCATTTTTGATTAAAAAACAATGCAGCCTTGGTGAGCGTAAGAGACTTAATTTAAAACATTAATTAAATAATGCATCAAATCTTTTCTCGAGAAGCTTTTGCTTTCCATAGACTGCTATTATTTATTTTTAAATAAATGTTTTTTTTTTTTTTTTATAATTCTTAACTACAGTCTAACTGTAACCCTGCTACTGAAAGAAAACCTATTTGTTACATTTCCAGGAACCATTTTTTAGAAATTTTGTTTGAAAGTATGACAAAACACACACACATATAGTACTTATAACCATCAGAATATTCAATTGTAAACTTTGGTAAGAACCACAACATTTAAAGTGCATATAAACCTTTGATTATGAATACATATATTATTTTTTAGTAATAAAAAAACATTGTTGGGTAACATTTAGGGAATGGTCATGGCTGAAAAATGTCCTTCTGTTCAAACCAAATCTACGCTTACTGGCTTTTATCATGTATTTTCCTGATTTTTTTTTTGGCATCTCTAATTCCACCTCTCTTCTTTCCTTGGGTCTCTGTCTACTTTCATCTACTTTCCTTATTTCCTCTATCTGTTCCCTTACATTTTAACAACTTAATTTGTTATAATCACAGACATTCCAGTGCCTCTACTAACATCTTATATATTTTGTTTTGTTTTTTTCTTTTTCGTTTGGCTGACAAAAGTTGCATTGCTGAAAGCTGACTTGCAAGGTAGATAGCCATATGTGTGTCTCAACCGATGCTCCCTCCTCCCCTCCTTTAGTGTGACCGTCTGATGTCGTAGATAACCTTTAGATAACCAGCAGCCGGTCTAGTTACTCCATCACCGTAAATACAAGCACAGTCCGCGCACCTTGTATTTACAGCCCCTGCTCTTAAAATGTCTCGGAGTGTCCTGTGTCATAGTTTTCCCTCACTTACCCTTCACTTCTCTTATCATTGGAGCGTACATCTGTTCTGTGGTTTACTGGAGGCATGCGTCCCCCCTTCCCTGTTTCGACAGTGCCCCCTCCTCACCCACTGCATGCAGTCTCAACTCCTTCCACACACACAAAAAAAAAAAAAATGCTACGGAAATAGTCTGTAGCCTTTACCCCCGTTAAAGGCCTTAAAACTAGATGGAATTTCCCAAGCGGTTAGGGAATCTCTCCCGTGAGTTTGAAGCCACATTACTCCGCTCAGATATATAACACTTGGTTTGAGAGAATCTCGTCGGGGGAATGAGCCAACCCTCTGTTTCTCTGCCCGAGACTTTAAATGAGCTTCGCTCAGACAGATCAGGTGAGACGGGAGGAGCGGCTCTCATCTGAATCGCACCGGCGTCTGTCGTATTGCGCTTCTCTCTCTCCTCCTCCTCCTCCCTGCCAGATTCGCTTCACTTCCGAGTCAAGTGGCCAAGCCGCAAATGTGCGACTGATTGGCCAAATGGCTGAGTGATGGAGAGGAGGGAGCGTTTGAGGGCCAGGGGCCTGTTTTACATGCCGGCTGAAGTAATGAGAGAAATGAGAACAGAAGTGTTTCCGCAGGCTGTAATATGCCTGGCCCGTCGCCCCGTCGCTTCGCTTCTGTAGACCGAACACATAATGAGCTGTTCCAGACGGCCCCCATTTATCTTACAGCCCCTAGTCCCCAGGGAGTGCTGCTGCTTTAAACTCACCTCAGCAATACTAGGAGCAGATGTTATTATCACACAGGGGCCTGTATTATTACTGCAGCCAATACACTGCACATTACCGCCAATGCTACTCTGTCACAGTCTCTGGTGCAGTGCTTGGATTGCACTTTAAAATCAAGTCTCTTGTCCACATGTAATGAGTAATGAGACCGATTAAAGGTGCACTCAGTGATTTTTATTTATTATTATTTTTTTTTACTTGGTTGTTAAAACATTTGTACACTTAAAGAACTGAAAAACACTTTTTTAGAAAAAAACTTTTCGTAAAGACGTTTTCTAATTTATTGACATCTAACTGTACAGGTGTGAATTTGCATTTCCTTCCGTCTGAGAATTATTCATTTCACTTTTGTGTCAAAGGGCCTTTAGAATAGAACTTAAGTTTTTTTTTTTTTTTTTTTTTTGTTATTAAAAAACAAGCAAGCAAGCCTAGGTGACAAAGTAACCTAATGCATTACTTTCCATAAAAAGTTACAGAGTAATGCGATTAGTTACTTTTTTAGGGAGTAGCATAATACAGTAATAAAACAATACTTAAAAAG